GAGAGAGAGAGAGAGAGAGAGAGAGAGAGAATTGTGCGCTTTGTTTTTAACCAATAATATAGTTAGACACATACCACTAAACTATCGAGTATTGTAATTGGCTGCTGATAAATGGACCTTGAACAGTATTTGAAAATGTTGCCAACATTTAAACATGTGTTTACAGTAAAACACATGTAAACCCTTTACTGTATTGTTGTTCACAATTTTAATTATAACCATATATTTTTGATTGTGTTTCATGTATTGAATGTTATAATTGTGTTATAAATTGTTTGCTATAATTGTGTAAAAAATGTGTGAATTATTAGAAAAGTTTACAATTTGTGACAAAATTCCGGCAAATATTAAGCAAAATATAACAAAATTACATGTTTTTAATGATACGAAACAAGGTTTGGATGTTTTATTTATAACATCCGATGATATGGTCTATGGTTTTGGTAATAACGGTGAGGGATGTCTGGGTTTTGGTCACAACACACCCGTACTATCACCACAACTGATCCCAAAATTATGTCACCAAAACATCCAATACTTCGTGAATGGCATGAATTTTGTGATAGCAGTGAACGCCGGGAATCAGATCTACGGTTTCGGTACTAATACTTGCGGCCAATTGGCCCGCAATCGAAACACTCGTCGATATAACCAAAAACCAGAGATAATCACATATTTTAATGATAAAAACGTGGTACAAATCCGTTGCGCATACGTCCACGTGATGGCCCTCACCGGCGATGGCCGGGTGTATGTCTGGGGCGGCAATAGTTTTGGCCAAATTGGTTACGGAGACAATAGTTGTGACAATGAGTTTATTTGTGCGCCAATTGAGATCAAATTTGGTGATAATTATAATATACGTGAACTTTATTGTTTCACTTCCACCTCGTTTGCCATCACCAGCGATGGCCATGTGTTCAGTTGGGGTGACAATAGTTGCCACCAATTGGGACACAATCTGGCCGATGGTGTGTCGGCGTGGGGGACACAGATGGTATCGAAACCCCGATTGATTGAATCCATAAGTGATGTGAAGACTATCACCTCAACTGAATTTAGTACACATTTTCACACAACTAATGGTTTATATTTTTGTGGCAAATATTACGATATCATGAAAACTAAGACAACACCAAAACAGATACCATTTAAACAGAATTTTCAACAATTAATACAAATTAATTCATTTATTGAGTATAAAAATGAATTTATTTGTGTTTTGATTGACAATAAAGTGAAAATTATATCAAAAGATTACAAATTAAATGATACGAAATATAATAATTTTGTCGATTATTACGCAAATGAATGTCAAATAACTTATGAAACAATTGATTTGAAACAACTAAATGACAAAACAATGTTAACATCGGTTGAGATTAAAAGTGAAAGTAATAGTAAAACCAAAAAGAAACGGAAAAATAAAAATAAAGTTCTAGATAAAAATGATAATAATTTAAATGATAATTCAAGTGATGGTAATTATAACAAGCAATTCATTGAGATGTCAGCCATAGGTTCGGGTGGTTTTGGGACTGTATTTAAAGTAAAGCATAGATTGGATGACAAGATATATGCCGTTAAGAGACTTCAATTTGTGGGTAAATATAATTATTTGTTTGGATTTCATTAATTGATAAAACATTTAATTTATTTTAATAAATATATTATAACTTATTTTTACAGATATTAGTGGAGAAACAAAACAAACAGTTGTCGAAGAAGTCAATAGTTTATCAAAACTGGACTCAGATTTTGTGGTCAAATTTGAAGATTCATGGCTTGAGTCCAATCATCTCTACATTCAAATGCAATTCTATTCGCAAAGTCTTCGAACTGTTCTCAAAGACAAACCCATTGTCTTCGGGAGACAACCAGAAGACCAGATGACTGTCTTTGAATACTTTACTTCATCTGAAATATTCAAAGAACTCTTAGAATGTGTTGAATATCTTCACTCATTGGATCCACCAGTCATTCATCGGAATCTCAAACCGGAAAACATATTAATTGATCCCAACTTTACATCCAATCGTTGTGTAAAAGTATGTGACTTTGGTTTAGCCACTGATCACAACAACGATAGACAAACTGTGAGTCCATTTGTTCACACAGTTTGTGGTACTTTTGGATATATAGCGCCCGAAGTACTTATTGGTAAACAATATGACCACAAATCAGACATTTATAGTCTCTCTATAATTGGCGAAGAGTTGTTTGGCATTCATCTCCAGGAGTAAGTAATTTATCACTGTTTTATGTTTATTATTTATTATAAATTATTTACTTATTTTTTGTATGAATTAATAGTTGGAAATTAATTGACTCGAAAAAGTTGTCGTTCAAGAAATGCATACAAAGCATATACGGGACACTTCTGGATATGATGTCAACACCTTTTTGGAGACAAAGGCCTGAGTGTCGGGAAGTGTTGGCCAAACATAACGAGTGGTCTATCGATAAGACTGTTGTCACGAATCACACGGAATTCAATTCTGTGTTAAATACACTTAAATCTAATGATAATTCAGTTTTCTATGAAATTTTGTTTCGCAAAACACAATAATATATCATTTTTATTAACTTTCTCTCTCTCTCTCTCTCTAAATCTTAAAAATAATTAATTGTATCAAACATTACAACAATTTAAATATTTTGTGAACATTTAGTTAAAATAATTTTGAATAACTTTTTTGCTATACAAGTGTTGCTCAGAATAAACACAGAGAGAGGCACTACTCGTCACAAACTTCACCACAACTAACGGCTCTATTCAAGAATTTATACCAGAATTACATGACATTTATTTTAAAGGAATAAAACATAGCAATTATTATTTAATCCATTATAAAATTATGTTATTTGAATTTATAAAAATATTTGTTTATAATGTTACAAAATTTTACATTATTGTGTTTTGCGAAACAGAATATCATAGAAAACAGAATTATCATTAGATTTAAGTGTAATTAAAACTTCATTGAAATTGTTTTGTTTCGCGACAACAGTCTTATCGATAGACCACTCGTTATGTTTGGCCAACACTTCCCGACACTCAGGTCTTTGTCTCCAAAACGGTGTTGACATCATCTCCAGAAGTGTCCCGTATATGCTTTGTATGTATTTCTTGAACGACAACTTTTTTGCTTCAATTAATTTCCAACTATTATTTCATACAAAATATAATTATAATAAATATTAAACATTTAAATAGTAATAAAATACTTACTCCTGGAGATCAATACCAAACAACTCTTCGCCGATTATAGAGAGGCTATAAATGTCTGATTTGTGGTCATATTGTTTACCCATAAGTACTTCGGGCGCTATATATCCAAAAGTACCGCAAACTGAGTGCACAAATGGACTGACAGTCTGTCTATCGGTGTTGTGATCAGTGGCTAAACCAAAGTCACACAGTTTTACACAACGATTGGACGTAAAGTTGAGACCAATTAATATGTTTTCCGGTTTGAGATTCCGATGAATGACCGGTGGATCCAATGAGTGAAGATATTCAACACATTCTAGAAGTTCTTTGAATATTTCACACGAAGTAAAGTATTCAAAGACATTCATCGTGTCTTCCGCTTGTCTCTCGAAGACAATGGCTTTGTCTTTGAGAACAGTTCGAAGACTTTGGGAATAGAATTGCATTTGAATGTAGAGATGATTGGACTCGAGATATGAATCTTCATATTTGACCACAAAATCTGAGTCCAGTTTTGTTAAACTATTCGCTTCTTTGAGAACTCTTTGTTTTGTTTCTTCACTAATATCTGTAAAAATAATTTATAAAATATTAAAATTAAGTAAACTTTTATGAATGAAATGCAAAAAACAATTACCTCTAAATTGAATCCTTTTAACGGCATAAATCTTATCATCCAATCTATGCTTCACTTTAAATACAGTCCCAAAACCACCCGAACCTATGGGCGAACTCTCAATGAATTGGTTGTTATAATTACCATCACTTGAATTATCATTTAATTTATTTTCGTTTTTATCTTCAATTTTATTTTTATTTTTCCTTTTCTTTTTGGTTTTACTTTTATTTTCACATTTAATTTCACTATTAATTTCACATTTAATTTCACTATTAATTTCACATTTAATTTCACTATTATTTTCACTTTTAATTTCGCTGTTATTTTCACTTTTAATTTCAACCGATGTTAACATTGTTTTATCATTTAATTGATTCAAATTAATTGTCTCATAAGTTATTTGATATTCATTGGCGTAAAAGTCGACAAAATTATCATATTTTGTATCAATTAATTTGAATTCATTAGATATTTTTTTCACCTTATTGTCAATTAAAACACATACAAACTCTTCATCATAGTCAAAGTATGAGTGAATGTGCTGCAATTGTTGAACACGTTGCTTGCATGGTATTAACTTGGGCAAATTTATTGGGCGCTTACCAAAGGCGGTAAAGTGACCGCATAAGTACAGGCCGTTTGTCGTGTGAAATATTGTACTAAAACCGGTGGAAGCGATCGCTTTCACACCACTTATGGTGGACACCAATCGGGGCGTCGATACTCTCTGTGTTTGTTTACTATAATTGTGGCCCAATTCGCGGTATTCATTGAAACCCCAACTGAACGCCTGGCCATCGCCGGTGATGGCGAACGAAGAAGTTTTGTGACAATGAATGGCTTGTATTTTGCAATTTGCGATGAATTGCACTTCAATTGGTGTGCAAACGTATGGACACATCGGCCCTTCTTTGCCGCAACCCATTTGAGCAAAAAAGTTGTCGCCCCAGCCGTACACCCGGCCGTCACCCGTGAGGGCCAGTGTGTGGTTATAACCACAACTGTTCCCAACTGTGTCTGCCCTCCGGTCAAGACTACCGGTGCGTTTGCTCCAGAGATACAGTCGGCAATTGTATAGAAAATGTATGTTTTTTGTGTGAAGTTTTTTTGACATAATTTTTTAATTTGTTTTTTTAGACACCAATTCATGTGATAAATCCGAGCGTAGATCACAGCCCAGCCGTTGATACTGACAGCGATTATATGCATAATTTGTCACTAAAATTGGATTCACTGCTGCAAAGTATGGATCTGTTGACAAGCCGTGACGTAACCGAAAGTGTATGCAATTATTTATTTGTTTTGTTTATTTGTATTTACATTTTTCAAATAATTTCTTAGACACCAATCCATGTGATAAATCCCATCCAATATCACAGCCCAGACTCTGATAACCAGTTAACAAAAAATTTGACACAAAAATTGTATTCATTGCTAAATAACACGGATTTAATGACAGCCGGTGTCGGGGGCGGGGGTTCGCCCACCCATTGGGTTATCATTACATCAATATCTATAACCTTTAACATAATATTCATTGCACTTTTAATTGCTATCATATATCGTATGAAAAAGTCGTAAGTATTAGTCGTATATTATTATTATTTACAAATAATTGTATTATATTTTGTTTAATAACAGTTATGCTTATATTTTTGTGTAGAATATCGTCAAAAAATATTTCAGAAAGGATTTTGTTGAGGGAAAGTTCCCTGGATGACAATTTATAATTAACATGTTAGTTTAAAATAATAAATTTTTATTCATAATTCAATATTTAATTCATTTAATGAGAGTATCTTAGAACCGAATATTTAATATTAATAAAATAATTTTACAATAATTTATTTTATTAATAATAATATTAAATGCAAATCACAATTAAATTATTGCTTAAACAACTGTACTTTTAACACAATTTTAATTTAAAAAATTTAACTTTAAATTCGTTATAATTTGTTATTAAATTAATGGTAATTGTAATACCATTTGATTATTGTTTAAATTTGGTAATTTAATTTAAAGTAATAGAACTTATTAATGAACACGTAATCCAATTACAATCATGATAATTGTCAATCAATAAACCAATCATCCAATTTTAGATCAATTCATCAAACAGTGTAAACATTAGTTAGAATTTTGAGAGAGAGAGAGAGAGAGAGAGAG